AAGTTGGACCTGATGGTACTATTGATCGCCTCAAAGCTCGTCTTATGGCCAAAGGTTATACTCAAATTTTTGGATTGGATTATAGAGATATCTTTTCCCCTGTGGCAAAGATGGCTTCTATTTGTTTATTTATCGCCATGGTCGCTCTTCAACAATGGCCTCTTTATCAACTGGATGTTAAAAATGTTTTTCTCAATGGTGATTTGCAAGAAGAAATATATATGGAGCAACCTCCTGGGTTTGTTGCTCAGGGGGAGTCTTCTGGGATGGTATGTCGTCTTCACAAATCTCTATATGGCCTAAAACAGTCTCCTAGGGCTTGGTTTGGAAAGTTTAGCAAGGTTGGTCAACAATTTGGTATGACTCGGTGTGAAGCAAATCATTCTGTCTTTTATCGACACTCGAGTGTTGGATGTGTTTACTTGATAGTATATGTTGATGACATTCTTCTTACAGGTAGTGACAACCATGACATCTCTCTGTTGAAACAACATCTCTGTCACCATTTTCAGACCAAAGATTTTGGCAAACTTAGATATTTCTTGGGTATTGAGGTGGCACAGTCCAATGATGGTATTGTTATATCTTAGAGGAAGTATGCCATAGATATTTTGGAGGAAACTGGGTTGATGAGTTCAAAGTCTGTTGATACACCCATGGATCTCAATACTAAACTTCTACCAAATCAGGGGGAGCCTATATCTGATCCTGAGCAGTATAGAAGATTGGTTGGAAATTGAATTATCTTACAGTTACTCATCCTGACATTTCCTTTGTAGTCAGTGTGGTAAGTTAATTTCTTAATTTACTATGTGAAGATCATTGGAATGCAGTCATTCATATCTTGAAGTATATTAAAGGATCTCCTGGAAAAGGATTGTTATATGGTTCTAATAACCATACAAGAGTTGTTTGCTACTCAGATGCTGATTGGGCAGGATCTCCTTCGGATAGAAGATCTACATCTGGATATTGTGTCTCCATTGGTGGTAACTTGATCTCATGGAAAAGTAAGAAACAAAGTGTTGTGGCAAGATCCAGTGCAGAAGCAAAATATAGAGCTATGGCCTCAGGTGCCTGTGAACTTGTTTGGCTCAAGCAATTGCTTAGAGAGTTACAATTTGGAGATGTCACTCAAATGACACTTGTGTGTGACAATCAGGTTGATCTTCATATTAGTTCTAATCCTGTCTTTCATGAGAGGACTAAACACATTGAGATTGACTGTCATTTCATTCGAGAAAATATTATGTTTGGAGATATCAAGACTGAGTTTGTTAACTCAAGTGATCAGTTAGCAGATATTTTCACTAAGTCTTTACGGGGGCCTAGAATTGATTATATTTGTAACAAGCTTGGCACATACGATTTGTATGCTCCAGCTTGAGGGGGAGTGTTAGATATTGTTTAGATATAGTTTGATATTGTTAAGATATTGTTAGATATTGTTAACCACAATATCAAACAATACCTTCTGTTTATTCTGTTTACTTTCGGTTACTCTTTTAGTTGTACCTTTGTATTATAAATAGATTACCTTATGTGTGATTTATACACAAGGGAGATTAATTTCAAACCCTATTTCCTCTATATTCAACATAATCAATTAAAATAGAAACATTATTGTTGTCTTAGTATTTTAATCGATTAAAATTGTATTATATCAACTAAAATAATAAGATCATGAGTTTATTCCATGTTTTGTCATATTCTTCATACATTTGTTGTCCAGGTACCAAAAGATCTTCAGATTATTGTTCCTGCAAAAGAAATTTTCAAATTTTGGTACCCTTTGATGATAATAGGGTCCTTTTCAAGTTATTTGAAATGAGCTTTTGGGAACCCACTTCAATCTACCTTTTGGTACATTATACTTCTTAATTCTGCATAATCTAATAGAATGTCCTTTTTTCATGCAGTAAAAACATTTGATGAAAGATGATGAGTACGATTTTCTATATGCAGTTTTTCTAGTTTTTAAGCTTGATTTAAAACCAATACCAATTTTATCAAGAACAAGTTTTTATGAACCAAGAAGAACATCAATATTGGCTTTGCCTTATGTAAACTTTGAAACAGTTTGTAAAAGATATTCAATTTTCTTTTGTAAATCTGGACATTCTTCGCAATGTTTGATCATGTTACACATACAATCAGAATTATCATGAATTAATTTCAGGTAACCAAGATCAGTTTCATCTTCAAGAATTTTTTTTTCAAGAGAATCAACTCTATTTTCTAGCCAGTTGTTCATACCTTTTAGCCTATCATTTTCTCTTTCAAGTTTCTTGGTTTCTTCATGCATTTCATTAAATGCTTCTTATAGTGAGTTATAATTCATGAAATTAAAAGAAGAGTTAGAACCTACACTACTGGTTTGGTAACTCTGGTTAGCCATTAGACACAAGTTGGCTTCTTCATTATCAGAATTTTCTATTGATGAGGTATCATTGTCATCCTATGCTATGTATGCTCTTCTTTTGATCTTTTCTTCTTTATTTTCATTGTGCTTGTTCTTTTCTGGACACTCCATCCTTACATGACCCTGCTTATCACAACCATAGCACTTATAGTTAAAAGAATTAGATTTCTTTTCATACCTTTTGTGTCTTTCTTTATCTTGGATCTTTCTCTTGAGAAATTTGTTGAACTTTTTTACCAGCCGTCCAAGATTTTCAGTTTCTTCTTTTGATTCTTTATCTTTCTCTTCAACTTTGAGAGTTATGTTTTTCCCTTTCTTTTCAGAAATTTCTTGCTCATTAAACTTGTTAATTTCCATCTCATGTTCTCTAAGCTTGCCAAATAAGGAGGTTGTTATCATGATGGACAAGTCTTTTGACTATGATATTATTATGACCTTAGGTTTCCATGACCTATCAAGACATTTCAAAACTTTTATATTCACTTCCTCTTTATCAAAAGTCTTACCTAAGCCCATTAGATGATTGATGATGTGAGTAAAGCATTTCTGCACATCGACAATGTTTTCTCTAGTTTGCATCTTAAACAACTCATATTCCTTGATGAGAGTATGTTTTCTAGCTCTCTTCACATCAACAGTTCCCTCATGAGTAACCTCAAGAACCTCCCACATTTCCTTAGCATATTTGCATTGAGATACCCTAAAAAATTCATCCATATTAAGTGTAGAAGTAATTATATTCTTAGCAGTACAATCACTTTGAACTTTTCTTTTCTCTTCATCATTTAAACTGGACCATTCTTTTTATGTAAATAATGGACCATTAACAATTACATCCCAAACATTTCTATCAATATATTCAATAAATATCTTCATCCTTATCTTCCAAAATGGATAATCTGTACCACAAAATAGTGGATGTCTATTAATAGAAGCACCCTCAGAAAAATGTAATTTGTTTTTAGCCATAAAAAATATTTGGACCGAAAGTCTTGACTGATTTTCAAGACCCTGCTCTGATACCAATTGTTAGAAAAAGAGGCTATGATCAAGAGGGAGGGTGAATTGATCTTTGAAAAAATTTCGCACTTTCTTGATACAAATTATCTGTTTCAAAGATTTTGAATTCTGATCACTTTTTGAATTAGGAAAAACAAGCAATACAATTTAGAGTAGCAACAGAATTAAAGAGAGTAAGGTTTAGAGAAATACAACCAAGATTTATACTGGTTCACCCAAATCACAGGGCTACATTCAGTTCTCAGCCAAATTCCAGATGAGGTCCACTAGATTGAATGTTTTACAGATTACAATTCTGAATCACACAACACTCAATCTATCCCAAGAATCAAATTCCAGTTCTTGCACCTAAACCTTCACCAAGAACCAAATTTCAGTTCTTGTTCAAACCTGCAATCAAATTCCAGTCACAGAAATCGTGCCTAACAATTCTAGACACTCACAATATAGAAAAGATTTATAGAAAATAAAGAAGAAGAAATCAAAACACTCAAACCCGATTATGCAGCTCCTGCAGTATGAGTTTTTTCACCAAAAGAAAGCAAAAATTGCCTCAAGAAAGAATTTTGAAAAACTCCACAAAACTTGCGCAATTTTTTCTTGAAAATTGCTCTTATGATTGCTTGATTGATTGTTAAAAGATGTATTTCAAAATGTTGAATCAAATTTTTTTATATAGAGTCATTTCTAACTAACTAGTTTAATTAATCGGTTAAAACTTTCTTTTAATCGATTATTAAATCTTGACTAATCGATTAATTCTTCTTTTAATCGGTTAAAATGTGCTTCATCATTTTCCAAATTTATTTTAACTGATGCAACGATGTTTTAATCGATTAAAACAGTTAAACAAAAATTCTCTAAGTTATTTTAATTGATTAATTCGTGTTTTAATCGATAAATATTCTACAAAATATTTTCACAAAACTTCCTAAGTGATTTTAACTGATAACAACAAGTTTTAATCGACTAAAACACTAGACATAAATTCCTTTAAGTTGTTTTAATCGATTAATTTGATATTACATCGATTAAAATTCTGCAGAACACTTTTCAAAATATCTCAAGTGATTTTAATCGATTAATTTGAAGTTACATCGATTAAAATACTGCCATAACACTTTTCAAAACATCTTAAGTAATTTTAATCGATTATTTTCAATCTATATCAATTAAAATACTGGCATAAGGTTTTCAAATACTCCTTTAATGAAAATAATCGATTATTTCAAAGGTGTATCGATTAAAACAACTCCAACAAATGTTTTAAATGGTTTTAATCAATTATTTTGAAAACATATTAGTTAAACTATTTCTTAAGAACAATTTAACCGATTACTTTGGTTTTTAACAGATTAAATCATCTTTAGAGGCATTTTCGAATTCTTTCAAATGATGAAACCTCATACAGTAGAGAGATATGAATGAATACCTATTAATATTAATTATGACTCACTAATCATTCTACCCTTAAACCCAAGCAGCCTTTGACTTCATCAAATCCACAATATCTTCATTTTATTAAATGATCCAATAAGATCTTCATCACTTACGAAAGGTCGGCGGGTAAACTATGACCGAGCTGCCATCACTGAATTCTTAGGAGATTCATTACCATTAGAAGAAGGCCAACAATGTGATTATACCAGGTTGTGGTTAAGCCAGGAAACTGTTGGCGCTAGATGGAGGGCCATTCATGAAAGGAGAGTTGCAAACTTACTCTACATTCCTAACAGGTCATTTCAGCTTGGAGTTGTTGGCACTCCTCGCAGAATTCGTCGTACTGATATGATGACGTTAGCCCAAGTCTGGATGACATTCTTACTATTCAATATAGTGCCCTTTGGCCATGTGTCTGACTTGAACATGCCAAGATGCAATCTACTCTATTGTTTAATAAGAGAAGATATTACTGTTGATGTGGCCAGCATTATCTCCGAGGAAATTCACCGATTTGTGAATTATGAGATCAACAAAAACAATCAGAAGCACAAAGGAGCTTTGGGCTTCCCAGCTTTAATCACAACACTTTGCCAAGCCCAAGGGGTCGAGGTCGAATTAACTTTGAAGATTTAACCTTCCATTACAAGGAAATTCACTGACCATTTTTGCACCAACTCAGCAGACCGGGTGCAGCAGGAAGGGCCACCGATGGAGCCACCAGCAGCTGCAGACCAACAAGCAAATCCCGCACAACAACCTCAACCCAACATCAATGATGAATTACTCGAGCACATGAAGCAATTGAGGTTACAAATGAAGCACTCCTTCCTACAGCACATCTCCATTCATAGAGGACAACTCCACCTTCAGGAGTACCTCTATACCAACGTGCGCGGACCTTATCCAGGAATGACTCCTTCAGAATTCCTGACATATTTACAGTAGCATGGGGACAGTCCAAGTTTTCTAGGGGGGAGTGGTTATGACAGTGGAAGTTCTGCAACAACCAGACTTGCACCAAGTGAGAACCCACCAAGAGCTGCAGACAGAGATGACTTGGCTGCTGAGGAAGAGTTCGCGAGAGAGTTTCAGTTGGTTAAGGAATAGATAATCGGAGAGGACCCTCAGGAGAAGGAGTTTCATACTGATGTGGATAGGGTGTTGAGGGGAGATTGATTCACAACACTATTCCACCCTCCAGAACTCCATGAAATATGATTTTATTATTCTTTTTGTTTTAAAGTATTGCAGAACTTTTGTATTTAGTAATATTTAGCTTTAGTTGTTTTTGTTAGAATGTTGTTACCTTATCTAATTAGTTAGAAGTAATTATTAACTTCACTTTATGCTTAATATTTTGCACATAATACATTAGGGATGACAATTAAACCTGTACCCGTGGGGATCAACCCGTTTCCACCCCGAGTTTGACAGGGAAAACCCGAGTTGACCGGGGGCGGATTCAGGTTTTTCCCGCTTTAAAAAGTCGGGGCAGGGACGGGGATGAGTAATGCAATCCCCACCCCGACCTCGTCCTCGCACCAACTTTATATTTAAAATTAAATTTTAAATATTAATATTTTAAAAGTATTTTCTTTTCTTTTTCTATTATATATAAGAGGTCATTTTTTTATATTTCACCAAATTTTATTTTTCTTCTACCCACTTTTTAATTTTTTTGTCTTTTTTAATCTTTTATATCAATTAATTTATTATATTATTCTCTCTCTTACCTTTCAGTTTTTCACATTTTCTTAATTTCTCCCATCAATTTATTTATTTTTTTCAATCTTTTCAACCAATTTGATGAACACAAAGTTAAATTTTTTTATTCTTTATCTTTTTCTAAATATTTTACATAAATCTTAGTAGTAACTAATATTATTTTATTTATAATTTATATTTATTAGGTTTTATTATGTCATATTTTTTATCTTATTATTGTTATTTATTATATATCATATTTTATCTTAATAAAATAATTATATTTTAAAGGATTAAAGGAATTGATAATTTAAACTCTTATTACTTCAAACTAATTGAATAAGAATTAACTTATTAAATATTTCGTTATAAACTATATATTTTATATTTTTCAATGACAACTTAAAAATGAATTAACTTATATATATAATCAAATGTTTGAATACAGTGTTATAATAATAATGTTATAAGTATTCAAATATTTGAATACGAGTGTTATAATAATAATAATGTTATAAATAAAAAATGATTAAATATTTCTTTTACATACATATTTTAATATAAATATAATAAATTAAAATGTATATTTAATTAATAATAATAATTATAAATTATAAAATTATAAATATTTATTTATATATAAAAAATAGATAGTAAAATTAATTTATTATAAATATAATTATCTTTTTAAAAATAATATAGATCGAGAACGAGGCGGAGGCGGGAACCCGAAACCCAACGAGGACGGGGACCTAATTTCTATCCCCGGCGGGGATTGGGAGTGGGGACGGGGATGGTTAAAAAAATCGGGGACGGGGATCGGGGAGGCAAAACCCACCTCCGCCCCGCCCCGTTGCCATGCCTATAATACATATGCATCAACATTTTTTGGGAATCATTAGAAAATCTTTCTTGAGGAAATTGGTTAAAGAGAAATCAAGTTAATTGGTTGAATCTATAATTAAATGGGAATAGGATACTAGTGTTGGATAATTGGTCGAGATAATCAACTGTAACAACAAGTGATATGCTAAGGAAAGAAACTAGAAAACCCAGTGAGTGTGTGAATCCATAAACAGCTTGAGAGTTTCCACTGTTTGTTGTCAAGTTAATATTGCTTGAGTTTTCATTCGGATAACATTACACTAGAAGCATGGAAATGATTAAGGCAATTTTGTTTAATGTAAATAACTCAGTGCCAAACAACCAACCTAGAAATAATCATCCTTTTGTGATAGCCCATTTGAGCCTAATTGTTTTGAATTATGCACCCTAACCTTAACTTTAATTATTATCCTTTCCCTTTACACACTTAGGGATAGAGTGCATAGGTCCAGTTTATTCAATTGTAAATTGGGAATTGGTTGGTGGAATTAATTTGAGGAAAGAATGGGGCTGAGTACTTTGTACTATAATTCACTCCTTAGTATTATATATAAATTTATATACGAGAAAGTGCTTTAAAAAAAAGAGAAAGAATGAAAGAGAAGAGGGAGTGAATTATGAATGAAAAATAAAGAACATTGTGTTGGTGGTATGAGGTGTAATGAATTGAGAATAGAAATGAAAGTGGGTCTAAATTGTGGTTATGCTCTCTTTTCTTAAGTTGGGCTTTTGTTATCTGAAAAACCATAATTCTTTGAAGCCCAACCTCATCACAACCCTTAAAAGACCTTAAGACCCATGTTGAGAGTGTGTTTGTGGTTTGATTGAAAATGACTGACATTTTTTATTTGTTCAATTTTAGTGGAAAATGAGAGAAACACTTACCTGTGAGATTTATGAGAGAATTTCCTTGGTTAGAATCAATGGTTCTTACAATTGCTTGTCTTGAAACATTTGCTGCACTTTTATCTTATTTATATTTGACAATTGGATTCACCAGTTGCTTCTGATTTTGAATCTATAGTTTGGAATACAAAGTTGTCTTGGAGGAACTATGAAATGATTTCTCGATAACCAAATTCAAAGTTTGAATTTTTATAAGTTGTTTGGGATCTTATTACTTTTCTTGAGGGCAAGCAAGATGCTAGGTTGGGGGGAATTGATAAGTGTCAAAAAGTAGTAAATTTTCATTTTGAATGATGACACTGTTTGATTAAATTGTGTATGTAGACCCCAAATCTTGCCCGGTCTGCAAATAAAGAGTAGAAGACCTCCTATTCGAAGATGGATGAAGCCTAATAAGCCACTAGGAGAGACTATTAGGCCCCATGCTAGGACAGGAGGGACTTTTGGCACAAAAATAAGGTTTCTCGCCTTTTTAGGGACGAGACCGCCGTCTCGTTTGGCGAGACGGCGGTCTCGACCCTGTCAGACGAAACGAGACGGTGGTCTCGACCCTGTCAGACGAGAACGGTGGTCTCGCCACTGTCAGGCGCGAAAACCTATAAATAGGGGCATCCCCCCCCCCTCATTTCCACACACCACACAGCTTTTGCTCTCCCTTCTCTCTAAAACCTCTCTCTAGAATCCCTCCGACGCATTTCCGGAGTTTCTGAGTGCCTTTGTGAGCGTTTTTCGGCATCTAGAAAAGTTTCTAGCGCTGTGTAGAGTGAAGGGCTGCCACAAAGCACCCTCTTTTTTTAAAAGAAATAAAAAGAAAGCTTGCTTGGAAGGTTTCTACTCTCTCTCTCACCTTTTTACCCCTTTATTTAAATGACGCAATAGATAGGGCCATGTAGTCATAATATTTTGATTCCGCAAATAAAAGGGTAAAAGCGTATTTTTTGGTTTATTTATCAATAAAAATAGCTGGCCTATCATAGGGAACTCGAAAGGGGCATCGTAAAGGAACTAATACTTCCTTTACCCATAACTAACTCCCTTACCCAACTCTGGTTCTAATGACCAAAGTTGGTTTTTCGAAAACCAACGCCTTTTAAACTCCTTTTCCGATGTTTCCGGTAAAAACATTGGAGGCGACTCCACAGAACCCTTCAAAAATTAGTCCTTGGGTTAGCCCGGTTATCGGACAACCCAAGGACGACCTTTCGAAAACCTCGCCCCTAGGTTTGCCCGGTTATCGGACAACCTAAAGGCGTTGTAACCACCCATAAAAAACGAGAAAATTGGAAAGTCGGAACCATCGCGTCGCTCTGACCGCCTCGTTTTTTGGTGGTGGCGATAGATGGCGACTCCACTGGGGAAGCCTCGAGAGTTGATCCCATTTAGTGATGGGCCGGCTTAAAAATAAATAAACCAAGAAAATAACGCTTTTGCCCTTAACTTGTATTATAACATGTTTTACGGTTTGGCTTTAATAAATGTTGCTTGTTTATACTTACGCAATTGTGTGAAATACAAACTGTACACAAACCCTTGCACACTACAGTTCCCTCTATACCCGGGGGCAAGTGAGAAATCCATAGGGAGTGGGTGGCAGGTACGGTTTGCTGTAGTGAGGGCCTTGAGCCCACCAGTGTGATCGAAAACCATCACTCAAGGTGATAACCTTCCTCTTTTGGCAACAAGACTGACTATGGCCTTAGTGCTAAGCATGGTCGGACGGCTGGAGAGTGGGGACCCTATAATGGGGGCACCTTGGGGGCCTTAGCCTGGTGAGAACAGTTAGAACCAACCCTTGCCATTGCACTTTTCTGCAGGAAAACCCTACCTCGTGATAAAAACGAATTCTCGCTTGTTCGTGGATGATCGAATTGTGTGTGCATATGTTTGCTGCATTTGTTTTTTGCATAGCATAAACAAACAACAGAACAAAAATCACAAAAAAATATTTTTGCAATAAACGCCCTTATCTCGGACAGTTTGCCTTTTAGCTAGCCTGGTTTCAGGTTCTTTGTAAGCTAAGTAGCCACGCAGTTCCGACAGAAGAGATAAGGGATGCTAACCATTCTTTCACATAAAGCCACATTTTATCTCAGACAGTCTGCCTTTTAGCTAGCCTGGTTTCAGGTTCTTTGTAAGCT